CATTTCAAGGTAAATTTTCCCATTCAATTCTTGATGTAATATTTTCAAAATTGTTAGGTCAATTAAAATTAGTCTTGCGGGAAACATTTATGGACATATGACCTCCACTTAAATTTATTAGAACTTCTCTACAAATTATGTAATTTATTTATTTTTTTATTCTTAATCAGAACAAAAAGTATTCTAATGTATTTCTCTCAAATTGAGGATTATGCAAAACTTTTTATAATGAAAAAAAAATGGATTTGAGGTTATCAAAATGGATAACTAACATTGAGTTTCTAAGATTACCCAATTGAGTATTGTCCCGCATTTAAGGATGCATCTATTTATCAAATCCAATTTTTACTTAGTTGAGTCATTATTTGGAAACTCTTTGCAACTAGACTTATTACTTCAAGGCCCCTAGTTATTAGAGTTTTGTGGAAATTACTACCTCTCAATGCTTTTAGAAGAAATTTAAATAAGTTCTCAAAGCAAAGGATTTTAGAAGAAAAAAATTATCTTTGAGAGAAAATTGAGCTTTTGTTCTCATTATTAGTTGATTAAGTATGATATTCAAGTTTAAAGAAAATATTTCAAAGACAGGACCCTTTATCAACAACAAAATGAAATTAATCTTTAGAATTCCTCATCCATTTAAATAAATGATATTCCTTAGATCCAATTTAACCTTGAAGCATCTTCACCATCATCACCAATGATTGATAATCAAATTCTTAGTTAGAAATGAATAACTTAGCATACACAATCATCTAAATCTTCTCATCAAAAGTACTTAACAAGATTTATGACATTAGAATAATTGCCAAGTTACTAAGGTTGATCTAATTCCTATTATGGATGTTGTTGATTCTAACTTTCATATTATTGCTTATGATCTTTTTCCATAATATAACTTCACCTCAAAAGTTGTTCACTCACCTCCATTATCTTCCCAGCAATCTCAAGAGATCTCTAATATCATTTTCCCTAATCAAATTTATAGTACGCATGAAAGATTAAAGTCAAATATTATCTTAATTATATATATGGTTTGCTGTTAAGTTGGACAAAATTGGATTACCTTATATTCGGCTTGGCTGATGGGCTTGCTCTTTTTATTTTTTTGTATTTTGGTTTGGTAACTTATATGGTTCCCTGTTTATGTTGTATGTCGTTATTGGGTTCTGGAATCCCAATATGCTGGTAATATTTCTATCAAGAGATTGTTGGGGAAGATCTGGTGGGTTTCCTTTCTGATGTATTGGCTGGCTCGATTTACTTTCTTTTAGGTTTTAATTAGCTAGCTGGTGGTTGGGTGGATATCTGTTGCTAGTTATATTTCATTTTGGGTTGATATGTGGTGGGCTGGCTGCTACAAGATGTTCTACAGGATGTGTTTGTTCATCTATTTTAATTGGTTGGTCTGGTTACCTGCTTTTTCTTGCTGGTTGGGTTTCAATTGCCTCTTCTTGCTGAATTGGAATCATTTTTGGTGGTGGCTCAAGTATTGGGAGTTATTTTTCTGTGGTTGGTTTCCTGGGGCTTACTGGTTTTTATCCTAAATGAGTGGTTTTGCTGATCATTCGAATAGTTTTCTGGGTGGTGCCTTTACCCATCCTGTGCGTAATTCTTGTATGGAGGCAAATTTGTTACCTGACTATTTTATTAGTCGGGCTACTTACTTACCAACTCTTACTTGTTTTGAGATCACGATTCTAGCAAAATCTGCTAGGGGTATTTCTGTTTGTAGCTCTTTCGATTTATTTTCTTATCTGGTAATGTTGTTCATATATGTGCTTATCTTTTTAACTATTATTGGTACTTGCATTATCTTTTTTGTATTTTTCTTTTGGATTGGTGCTTTGTTCTTTAGTAGGATTACTCTGGTTTAGAGGTTGTTAGAACGGTTGTGCTGATTGAGTATATTTTGATCTTTCTTTTTTGGGCGCTGTTGTGGTGCCACCTTAGATTGTATCTAGGCAATTTTGGGCCTTAATAGAATTTTCCTACATTTGGTCATGACTAGTTACCTATTAATATTTCATTTAACAAACTTAAGGATGACATTCTATTGCAGCATTCAAATAACTTCTACACACAACATACTTGCAAACATTGTGGCGGAAGTAAAAAAGAAAGCTCTCATGAAATGTTCTTATTATACTAGATCATTTTGAGTGTCTCTCATGCATGTCATATGAACCATCAAAATGAGAGATGAAAAATGGCTAAGCTTTTCCTTTTATATCTTCATTTTTAAGATTGTTCAATAATGGTCTTATTTTATAACTATTATTTATTAAGATAATTATCCTCTTAAAAAAATTAATTAATGGATGTGACAACATAAGATTCATCATCTATAAAGAGAATTAATATAGCCCAAACACGCAAACCACAACTAGGCAGGATCTTGCCACCCTCCATATCTATCGGGAATTGAAGATTACCATTAACTCGAAAATGGTCATCTAACCCAACAGAAGCTCTACCTTGGGCGCATTGTACTTTTTTATTTATATTAACGTGTAGGCCCCGCCGTGCAGTTCCCCCCATACCATGGGCATAAACTAACTTAAGTTAAATCTTGTAAATTTTAATATCATTATTATTTTTACTCTTATCTTTTTCTGAACTATTTTGTGGTTCATCATATTTATTCTTGAGTTGGTATTTTCATAGAATAAAACCAGACACACTTTTTTCCTAACAGTACTTTAAATGTATTTAAGCCTTCAATGCATAATTGCACTTTCTTTGAAAGCGGTCTATGTCTGGCCCCTATCAAGGCACAAATGATTTTAGTAAGAAAAGAGTACTATGGTGCTCTTGCATGCACACAAAAAAATCACCTCAGTTAATTGAGATCACCCAAAGCTAGAAATTGTGCTTGACATCAAACTTGCTTGCATGTTATTGATTGCCATTTCTTTGCCAAATAAGGCGAAGATGGCCATGTTAGATATATTTCAAACGTGATTTTTTAATTTTCTATTATTCTGGATAATAATCAGTTGAGATATTTGAGGTTTATGTCTGTGCGGATGCTGAACACCGTCTGGAGACCAATTAGAATGCGTCACATCACCTCCTGCTCAATATCGGGCTCAGTATTGCTCGGTATTGAGCTCAATACCATTGACGTGACGCATTTTTGTTGGCCTTTGGACGATGAACTGCGTTTGGTGTCCGCATAGAATAATCTCTATCATTTGTGACAGCTTTCTTACTGTTTTTTAAAACAGATTTTTAATACAAAAAATTTTTGAACTAAAATTTTTTGTACTAAAAAGCTATTTTTATTTTAAAAAATTATTTTAAAAAGCAACAAAAAAAATTATTCCAAATGAAAACTTAGACTTAAATGAATAAATTCCCATTAACTTATGTGTAAAGAAGCAGAAACAGTAATCTCAATCAGATAATTGTTCCTGCTCAAAACATGCATGATTTGACAGGCAGAAAGCGCATAACACATAAGCATTAATGTGCTTAATTAATTAGTTCTTAAGCATAAACAATGCATTAATCACAAAGAGAATAACCACTTTTAATCAATTTTACCTACCAAAGCTCTTCGCTTCTTCATATAGTCTGTACTCCAGAAAGTACCTTGCATTAAATCTCCTTGTTTCTTTTCGAAAATAAATTTGCAATTCCTGTGATAATAACATCTGAAATGTAGATCAACAGGCTTTGGTCTGTTGAATAGTGAGCATAAAACTATTAAGTCCATCTGTACATTACATTCCCAGCCAAATATCAAACAATTATTTCAGAACAGTTGCATGTGGTGTGGTCCTTTTCTGCATAACTATGAATGTTAATCCTTCATGCTCCCTCCTTTTCTCTTGCACTGAACCCAAGAAAGCACCATCACATGAAAACAAGAATCTCTCTCTCGTGAATGATATGATCCATGAGAGATAGATTTGGGCTTTTTTTCCCTTATGTGTATGTCATCTTGTTATTTGTGGTATGGTGCAGAAAAAGATGACAAGCCTTATAAAGTTGATATAAAAGTTGATATATTTTTAATACATTTGAATATAGCAGAATATAATGTGATAAATAAAAACGTTTTTATAGAATTTTGTATATAAAAACAAAAAATCTTAAGAGAAATTCAGGAATATTTTGTATTTTATTTAATGATTGATGGCATGCATGCATGCATGTCATGGATGATGTTACACATGTCTCCATTCATTTCACCATGCATTCACCAATTATGAAATGTGCATATAATAAGCTACATTCAATAGATTGCAGAATTTTTGTCCAATGGAATATTATATATATTATCTGTGATTGTAATGTATGTGAAGATAATGTGCTAATATTATATATATATTTCCTATATATAATAAAGATTATGTCAGAAATTTATTCATTTATTAACACAAAGAATATTCTTCTTAATATTATAGCAAATTACAGTCATGCATATATGCATTTTGCCTGCATAACTACTTTGCATTTGGTCAAAATCATTCATAATGTAATATAATCCAAAACATTATCTCATACTGCAAACTTAGGTTTCATTTGGAATGACTTTTTTATGTTTCTTAAAACAGTTTTTTAATACAAAAATTATTGTACTAAAAAGCTACTTTAAGAATCAGTAAAAAAATCATCCCAAATGAAACCTTAATAAGGGCTCGAGAAAGACCTAGAAAGAGCTCGAGGTGTATGCTATTCCACTCTGAAAATTTTCTCCACTTAGTAGAATAAGTATTTTTATCTATTTAGCTCTCATTTTTATAAATATATTTGCCAAAAAAAAAATTCTTTTTATGGAAATCAAGTTTGAACTGTTGATTTAAATTTTTTTTTTCTTAGTAATAAACCTACATAGATATATAACAAGAGAATTATTTGAACATAAACTTGAACATTTAAACAAACATTAACAGGCATGCACTGTCTAATTAGTTTAAAAGTTCTTATATATGAAATAACAAAAGCTTCATTAATTAATCACTTAAGAACTGATTATTAGAAAGTGAATCGATCAGCATTAAAAAAGAAGTTTCATAGATCTAATCTTATTACAGAGATTGAATTTAACAGTCATTCATACAGAAATAAAATTATATATTTATAAAACTAGACACCACATATATATTTTCTTCTAATCGACTCCCCTTTCCACAAAATAAGTAACGGGTAGAAAAATTAAAAGGAACCAGCTTTGCCCACCTTTAGACAAAAAGAAAAAGGCTGAAAGATATAGAAATTGAACCATATATCAAAAGAAACATAGCTAATTTCTCTTTGTTTGATAAAGAAAAAGGAAGCATCCATACCATTTCTCTTCCAGAATGCAAGCTATTTAATTCCCCAGCCATGACTTCTTCTTCTGATTGTCATAGGAATTACTCATACAAGTCTCAATGCCAGCCATGTTGAGAAGATCTCTTTGTGAGATAGCTCTCAGTCCTAAGAAATCTCTGGTCAAGCCATCGTTCCCATTTCTTCCTTCCTCTCTCCTTCCGTGGTCATCAAACAGAGAAGCTTGTGGCATGGACTTCATCATTAAATCTTGAAGAAATGGACTTTGGCTTGCTGAGCCATGGAAGTTCGTAGTTTCTTGTTGGTGAGAAGAAGACAATCCAAGACCTGTAGCATTAACTTTGCTACTTGCACTGATAGCTCCCATTTGAGCTGCTTTCTGTAACAGTGCAGTCGCCGACATGTGCGGAGCAGGCGCCATAGCCGGAGCTGGTGTCGAGATCAAATGATGGGGAATACCATTCTCTTGCACCATTCTTGATGCATACAGAGAAAATGGAAGGTCATGGTAGTTGAGCGGAGAAGTATTATTTCCCTGGCTTGATAGCCATGAAGGGATTTCTTGTCTTAAATTGAAAGGTGGCTGTTGTGTTTCTCTCTTAAGAGTGACTAACTCTTGTAGCTCTTGGCTTGGTTCTGCTGTGGCTGATCGGATCAAATGTGGAAATTGTGGTTGAGGTGGTAGGGTGATGGGTGGCTGTGGTGGTGGTGGCGGCGCGGGGAAGAGAAGTGGGTGGTGACTGACTAAGGGATTAGCCGTTATTGCTCTCGCACTCTCCTCAGCCAAAGCGTCGCAAAAGGCTCTATGAGTGATGAAGCTGTCTCTCCTGCAAAT